AATATCGATTGGATATGGACAGTTTGCAGGATGTGCGTAAAATAAACTCAATTCTTTTTTTGTCACTAAAAATGATTTCACTTTTTAAAGGGTTCCGACGATGTATACGAGAGTTTCAATATTATAATGCGTCGCAAGCCAAAGGAGAACAACTTTAAAGCCGTACTGGAAACTATACGCCATCTGATGAATACTGAATGTGTTGTGCCGCCATGGTTACATGATTTGTTACTTGGCTATGGTGATCCGGGTGCAGCACACTATTCTCAGATGCCGAATCAGGAGCGCAGCTTAGATTTCAATGACACATTCCTGAACTTCGACCATCTGAAGAGTAGCTTTCCTGGTTATGAAATAAAATGTGATGCGCCGATGGCACAGCGCATACCTCCATTCCGTTTGATATTTGAAGACGTGCCAGAACAACGCGACGACGAGCCCGAAGACGAGGAGGAGGATGCGAAGATGAAGAACGCATTAGAAAAGGCGATTGTGGTACAACCATATGTGTTCGAAAGTCGTGGGCCGTATGTGGCAAATAAACCCAAGCAGTAAGTATGCAAAAATTAGTGAGGATAATGAAATAAAGATAAAGCTACATAGATAAAGGCAAAGTTAAACATATAGATAATGATAAACGTAAAGGTGAATATGCACATGAAGATGAATATAAAAATAAAGATAAAAAGGTGAAGATGAGGGTAAAGGTAAAGATATAGCTTAAGATGAAGATAAAGAATTTTTTTTTTTAAAGATACAAATAGAAATAGAGATAAGTAAATATAAATTTGAGAATGAGATAAAGGTATAGATAAACGTAAAGGTGAACGTGAAGATACTAATAAAGATAATGGTATATATAAACATAAGGAGGAAGATAAAAATACTAACACAACAGGGCTGGTACAGATACAGATAACATTAAGATACATAAAAATTACGAAAAGATGAACTTTAACATTTATATAAGGCTAGATAAAAATATAAAGGCGATCAAGATAAAGATAATGATCGTCAAGGAAAAGATCAAAATGGAAAAATTCTAAAATTTATATTTTTATGCGTTGAAGTCAGGCCAGGCTTCACAGCTAAACGTAATTGATTAACTTAAATCTTTTTTAGATCAACTCGATACAAGACCACTTCGAAAAAAAGGTATTATTTTCTTCAACAAGTAATATTTAGGCGAAAAATATAACCGGCTTAAATGCACATATAAAAATTTAGTAGTACCGTTAATTTCTAACTAAACTAAATTAGTATGGGACCACACATGAGGCACCAACTTTTAGATTAAAAACGAAAATGGTTGACGTGGTCATAAAATATACCGTAATATATGTACATAAAAACAGAATTTTTCCCGATGGATTGATAACTCCCTCCTCCTTTTGAAATCGGTCAAAAATAATAGTTTGCAAATAATTGAATGTCATATCTTAGGCCAGATCTTCAATAACCAAATGTCTTCTTGCAGAAACTCTGTTCGCTTCACACCCACTCAATTGGAAGCGATTCGCGCGGGTATGCAACCTGGCCTCACGCTAGTCGTAGGTCCTCCAGGTACAGGCAAGACAGATGTCGCTGTCCAAATCATATCCAATCTCTATCACAATCATCCAAATCAGCGTACACTAATCGTAACACATTCCAATCAGGCGCTGAATCAGCTCTTCGAAAAAATTATGGCTCTAGACATAGATGAGCGCCATTTGTTGCGTCTCGGTCATGGCGAAGAAGCCTTAGAGACGGAGAAAGACTTCAGTCGTTATGGGCGTGTCAATTATGTGCTCACACAACGCTTACAACTACTCAAAAAGGTACAAAAGCTGCAGGAATCGCTCAATGTGCTCGGTGACAACGCTTACACCTGCGAAACGGCCGGCTATTTCTATCTCTACAATGTGGTGGCACGTTGGGAGAAGTTTCTCACGCAAGCCACTGCCGTTGCAGATGCCACTGAGCCGGCGACTTGGCGTGCGGTATTCGAAAAAGAATTTCCATTCACACGCTTCTTTGCCGATGCATCGCAACCACTTTTTAAGGCCAAAACGTATGACGAATATATGGAAATAGCAAAATCTTGCTTCCGCTATATAACACATATATTCACGGAGTTGGAAGAATTCCGCGCTTTCGAACTGCTGCGCACCGGTTTGGATCGTTCAAAGTATCTGCTTGTAAAGGAGGCGAAAATCATTGCAATGACTTGCACGCATGCAGCGTTGAAGCGCAAGGAGTTAGTAAATCTGGGTTTCCGCTATGACAACATACTCATGGAGGAGTCAGCACAGATATTGGAAATTGAAACATTCATACCGCTGCTATTACAAAATCCGCTCGATGGCTACAATCGGTTGAAACGTTGGATTATGATCGGAGACCATCATCAATTGCCGCCTGTCATCAAAAATATGGCGTTCCAAAAGTACTCGAATATGGAGCAGAGTTTGTTTACGCGACTGGTGCGTTTGGGTGTGCCCACCGTCGATTTGGATGGACAGGGTCGTGCGAGGTCAAGGTGGGTGTGCTAAATTTTCGTTGTTTTAGATAGTTTGCAGTTCCATATTTTGCCCTCTTTCTTATAGTATTTGTTCCTTGTACAAGTGGCGCTATAAGAAATTAGACGATCTTACGCACATTTTGGAGCGCAACGAGTATCGGCAAACAAATGCTGGATTTGTGCATGACTATCAGCTGATCAATGTGGAGGACTTCAATGGTGTGGGCGAAACAGAGCCAAATCCTTTCTTCTATCAGGTAAGTGAATTCTAATGAATTCTTGGCAGCACTGCACAGTTTTCTACGCTCTTCGTCGTTTACTGAATTCAACACGACAGTAGACAATAGGTTTGTTCGTCGAGCAAAAAATTTGTACGAATTTGTACAAATTATCACGATTTTTGCCCAAATCGCGTTCGTGCAGACCAAAAAATTATCCAACACTCAAAAATTGTGAGAGCAAAGTGACAGTTCTCTTGGAGAGAAGTTGCAAATTCTTGCTGGAAAAAATTTTGCCAGCAAGAATTTGCAAACACGAAAAACATGTGGTTGTGGCGCATGGTTGCATTTTTGTCTACAATAATTTGAATAAATTAGTTCGTTAAATTTAAAAATTTATAAACACGAGCGATTTTTTTATGAAAAAAGGAAGTAAATAATTGTTGATATAATTAATTTAGTTAATTCCAATGATTTGAACTTAATTCGGCTGAAAAAAATGGTATTCGCAATCGGAATGCAATTGCAACTAGAGTCGATTTAAGAAACCCGACAGCTAGTACGATGAAGAAATTGAAATGTATGTTAAAGAAAGTCAGAACAACAAGAAATATACATGTATATCCTGTTTTTGGCCATCCGAAAGAATTTTAAAAATTCTATAAAAATTCTTTATGTTTGAAATGCAACCGTGGACGCCAGCTGGCAGCGAAACTTGCAAATTCCTGCAAATTTGCGTTCGTGCAGAAATTTGCAAGTTTCTCAACATCAGAGAGAATTTGAGAGAATTTTTTCTTACTCTCTGATATTTTGAGTGTTGAATAATTCTTGCTGATTTTCGACGAACAAACCTAATGCCAATTTCGTCGAGTCGTACAATTTAGCCTAATTTACGACTTACGCAATGAGGCGGAATATCGCTACTCATTTATAATCCACTTTCTTTATCCCTTGCAAAGCCTATAATACTTTTTTTTTTTTTGGTTTTATCAATTATTGAAACTTACAGAATCTCGCTGAGGCTGAGTATGTTGTAGCTGTTTACATGTATATGCGTCTACTGGGCTATCCCGCTGAAAAAATATCCATCTTAACCACCTACAATGGACAAAAGCATCTGATACGCGATGTCATCAATGTGCGTTGCGGTAATAATCCACTTATCGGTTGGCCATACAAAGTCACCACAGTGGACAAGTATCAAGGTCAACAGAACGATTATATACTCATATCGTTGGTGCGCACAAAGGCGGTGGGTCATTTGCGCGATGTGCGTCGTTTGGTGGTGGCGATGAGTCGTGCACGACTGGGATTGTATATTTTTGGGCGGGTGTCGCTGTTTAAAAACTGTTTTGAATTGCAGCAAACATTCAAGTTGGTAAGTAAAAGAAAATGTTAATAAAAATGGAAAGGTATTTTTTATCGTAGCTAATCTTCACCTTTTCACTACAGTTAACACAACGCCCGCAGCGTCTACAATTGCTGCCAGACGAAACTTATCCCACTGAGCGTTTAACCAACGAAGAAGTAGACCGTCAACGTATTTACGAAGTGAATAACATGACACAAATGGCGGAACATGTCTATGAAGTGTATATGAAACGCATGGAGGAGCTAAAAGATAAGCTACCAGCTGAGGGTGATTTGCAAATGTACGCAAACTTGCCACAAGAGAGTGCTGAGGAAGTGGAAGATACACAAACGATTGAGGAAGTTACAAATGAAACGCCAGAAAGTGATGAACCTCCAAAAAAACGTGCTGCAAAGGAAACCAGCAAGGCAACAAAAGCTGCTGCCGCTGCATTCAAACCTACGCCTATTGTTAATGAGATCGGTGAGGACGAGCCTGAAGGCCAAGATGACGCAGAAGCTGAGTCGCATGCTGCGCAAAAGGGAGCTGCGTCGATTGCTGTTCAAATGGAAGTTGAGTCGAATATTGCCCAAACAGAAGTTGAGTCCAATGTTGCCCAAACAGAAGTTGAGTCGAATGCTGGACAAATGGAAGCTGAGTCGAATGCTGGGCAAACAGAACCTGAATCGAATACTGGGCAAGCGGAAGCTGAGTCAAATGCTGGGCAAATGGAAGCTGAGTCGAATGCGGCGAAAACAGAAAATTCTGCTATCGAAGCACCTACTGCTGATTAATAAAGTTTCAATTTTTAAGTACGACATACTAAGCTGGGAAAATACATAAACATTTTATTAGATACAAAATTATATAGATTGCACACAATTCCTTTTTCATATTGCACGAGTATAAAAAAAGCATTATTCAACATCTCACTTCTTGGGAGCTGTAATGCCTTCCAGCTGAGCCTTGAGTTGTGTATTGGTCTTCTTGAGGAAGGCGACCTCTTCTGCATATTTCTTCTCTTCGGATGTACGTAATTCTGCATTGCGACGTTCAGCTTGTTCTTGTTTGATTTTCATATCGCCGATAATTTCTTCAAGCGATTCCTTTTCGGTTTCCAATGTTTTGACACGATCGCGCAGCATTTCTTTTTCCTCGTGCGCTTGTAACGCTTTGCGCATACCAAACGCTACCGAGCTGCAGTAGAGTGTTTCATATGCTTCCATAGACATGGCGATTTCATCCCGTATGCGTAGCAGCAGCAGACCACGCTCCGAGCAATTAATGGTGACTTGACGAATTATTTCATCTATAAGAATAGTTAATGGAGTTTGGATTGCCACATATGTTTTCTTTTTCTTTACATACCAAAGCACTGTGTATATAACTCTCGACGTATGGGGCAGATACCTGTCTCTCGCGCCTGAGTCTGCTGCAAACGAGTATCGAGCATCTCTTGTAGATTGATGACATCCTGTCGCGTGGCTGGTGTACTTGAAACCTATAAAAGGTTAGAGATGACCCCGTTTTCCGAAATGAATCAAGCCAAAGTAACAGTCAGGGTTAAATGCCGAATTGGAACTTCGTTGTGCAAATAAGGCATTTCCATCAATTATAAATTAGAAATAAAAGGGGCTGTTGCTTTGGTTTGATGCATTTCTGAACACAGCCTATGTTATATTCCAACCTAACTTGGGAACCTCAAACATTTCGTTACAAATTTTCCTATTCTATTACTTAACCTTCCATTCCGTAAAGGTTCACTTCTCGCATTTTCTCTCGACCCTCACCGTTTGTTGCCACAATTGCCCATCTTCCTCCCAACATCGTGGCGGTAATATGGAATTCAGTATCTCCTCAGTTTCGCGCTTAGTATCCAACAAAGCGCCAGCGGTTAGTGGTCTCTTCAATTCCTGCAAAAGCCAAGGAATAGCAAAATTAAGGGCGGAAACAAAATGATCTTTCATAAGAGACTTACTATTTCTGTCGGCACGCCTTTTTTGTCTGGATGTTTTACTACCAGCACCGGGTTGTTATAGCGAACAAGCGTCTGGTATTGATCGACTGTGGCGACATCGACTTCCTCCATGATTTCGAGATTAGCTGCAAGATTATAATTGAAGAAAATAATTTGGTGTACAAAAGTAAAAAAAAAATCCGTCGGTTTACAATTTTTTTTTGTTCCTGATTTGTCTGTCTGATTTGACTTTATTTTTAAGTGTTTATTATTTTGTTTATAGCAACCGGAAGAGGAAGCCTCTAGTGGCTTAGGAATTTTAACCCACTATTTGTTGGATATATCAAAGCAGGGTGGGGATTTACGGAAATTCCCTAGCACATCGATATGAGTGTCACCCTGTGTCGGATTTAAAGCTGAAATTAGTCGAGAACGCAGAACGTGTACTTAAACGCAGTCTGTATACGCAGAATTTTGTTGATTACTGGAGCCCTCAGTGTTGCTTACTACACTGTTGCCACTCATCAATGCCTTTTCATAAACTTACCATTTCAACTACAATTTTTTGTGCTATAATAGATTTTAGCTAAATATAAACTACTTAGTTTTCAACAAAAA